GGCGCTGCCCCGAGCACCGCAGGGGAAGCGCCCCCCGCGCCGCGGGAGGCGGCGACAGTGGTGGAGGCACCCCGCCCCGCCAGCTTTGGGTCCATTGGCCCCGCGGATGCCCCTGGGCAGCTCTAACACCCCCCGCTGTCGGCTGGAAGGAGGGTCTTGAGAATAAAGGACTGAGGGAAGTGAGGTTTGGGAGAATAAAACTGAGCTCTGGAGAAATGTTTGGCTAGAGTTTCCCCTACAATATGTACCAGGTCCGACTTACATACAAATTCAACTTAACAAACCAACCTACAATCCGTATTTTGTACGTAACCCGGGGACTGCCTGTACCTTATTCAGCATCTTCCTTGCTAAAATAGGCTCCTATGCGTAGGAATGCTTGTTAAACTCTTGTTGAGTACATAATGGCTAACACCTTTTGTCTATATTACAAAAAACAACAACAAATGGTCTGGTAGCACTTTATAGACTAACAAAACATGTAGATGGTATCATGAGCTTTCGTGGGCACAGCCCACTTCTTCAGATGACCAGACTTTCAGTTTCAGTGCTCATTACATCGTATAGACATTTTGATAATCTTGGCTATGAAAAGCAGCTGCTATGTAAAACTTTAAAGAACTAATGCATTATTTTTATGCTTTATTCAATCTCTAAAACTCAAGAAATTCAGATCACTTGTATCGATTCCAACAGGCAAAGGTACCTATTGCCAGATTGTGAATCAGTATTTTACTGCTTTTTTCCCTTAGTTCTTTGTATGTGATTTTGTTAAATTTTGTATTTGCAGGTATCTCTTTGCATTGCAAGTGAAGCAAGACCTGGCACAAGGCAGGCTAACATGTAATGACACCAGTGCTGCACTCTTAATCTCACACATAGTACAGTGTAAGTTCTGCTTTTTTTTCCTGGGTAATTGGTTGCTGGTCAGGAAAAGCTGTGTCAGGCTGTTGATCAGTAGTTGCCTGTGAACATAAATTGTATAGAACAGCATAAAAACCTGTACAGAGGCTACATGTTTTGTGTGTGTGTTTCTGTCTCTCTCTCTCTCTCTCTCTCTCTCTCTGTGTGTGTGTGTGTGTGTGTGTGTGTGTGTGTGTGTGTGTGTTTCTGTCTCTGTGTGTGTGTGTGTGTGTGTGTGTGTGTGTGTTATTTCAAATAAAGAACAGATGCTCAGAAATATCCTGGGTATTGAATCTGTTTGTTATTTGCTTGCATTTTCAAAGAGCAGTGCTTGACAGCCTGCTGGACTCTGCAAGGAGCAGTTTCTGCAGAGTGGCAGATGGGTTGAAATTCTTCAGCTGAATTCCTGTTTTGTTTTATTATTTATAGTTAACTTTTTAGCATGTCAGTAGAGTATAAGATTCTTGGAGATGTGTGTACTGTGTAGAGTATAGTAAATAAATCTGTTTAGAATGCCAGACTAAATCATAGCCCTGATAGGAGTGATAGGAGAAGGAAAAATCAATAGCGTTTAACTTGTTTTTATAAAGATGTATGAGAAATAAGAATGTTTGTTCAGATCATATACTCACTCATATCAGCATGTTAAAGCTGTTATATATAAAATCTGTCCTTTAAAAGGGAATTCATGTTTTCTATTTCAAGAATTTATGAAACCCATATCTAGAATGATGTTATGAAAATTGACTTTGAAGCATATATAGACTATGCCAGCAATGTTCAGCCATGCTAAATCAACATATTGAATTAACTCAAACACGGTCAAATACAGAGGACATCTTAGTTAACAAAGATTTTCAAAGTACTTTAGAGGTATAAGTCTGGTTTTAAAAAAAAGGGTATATCTTTCTGTCCTGTGTTGGACATAGTCTGCTTTAATGGGCTGTTCCTTCCCATTATTAATGTTTGATCAAAAAAGAATAAACCAATAGCTCTCCGTTCACTTTGTCCTCCAATGACCTGTGTGGCTGAGCTGTGGTGGGAGACAAAATAAATAAAAGGAGCAACCGCAGTGAAATTCTATATTCCTGTGATCATTTGGAAGCTGAATGTTTTTGTAGCCTAGACACTAAGAGGAAAACAATGCAAACTTTAAAAGAAAAACCTTTCATGTATGGTTCCAAAAGGGACTGAGTCTCAACAGAATTGTAATAGAAGTAGGTGAACAAGTACATAACTCTTTATTTTCTTAGCAATTGTGTTTAGTTGGGAGGAGGTTAGTCCCTGCATTCTGACTTCAGCCATGAAAAAAGCAGAGTTTATGGCCAGCTCTGACTGAGAGGCTATAAAACATGAAAGGAGAGTTGTTCTTCAAGTAATTTTCCCTCTGGGTGATCCACCTCAGATGTGTTTATGTCCCTATGGCAGGATCCCTGGGGTATTGCTGTGCCTCCTCAACTCTCTAGCCTGAGCTGTATCATATAATGCTTTGCTAGTGACACTTAGCAAATCCCTCTGTGTGTTATCATCACTGAGCACAACAGCATAGGAAGCCCCACGCTTGGGCAGATTGCATACATGCTCCCTGCACTACTTGCAAATCACACAGAGAAAGGCACTAACTAGATCCCTGCAGCTCCCCAGCTTTGCATCTCAGAACCATCTTTTAGTGGTCAGAAACCTGACCCGTGTGAGGTTATTACTCAGTTTCTCCCTCCCTCGCTGTAGAGAGGACATGTACCAGCTTGGGATAGTTTGCCCCTACTCCTTCCTGGCATTATTCTTAATTTTTCATCTTTAAAATCTTTCAGGGTTGGCTTTTTTTTAAATTTTCACCATTTTCGGGTGGTTTTTGTGGAGGAAAAGGTTTCCCTCCTCCCTTCACTTTTGTGGTCCCTCACTCATAGAGCTTCTCTGTTCATTGGAGGCTTCTTTTCCTTTTTTTCTTGATGAGTTTGCCACAAGCTCCGAGCTTTGAACACCATGACACCTGTAGATCATCTATTTTCCTTCAGTGGTGATCATTCCAGCAGTCTCTGCTGTCTGGGGAGAGACACCTCCCTTCAAGGTTTCAAGATCCACATCAAATTTGGGAGTAGGTCCAAGAAGCTGAGAGAAAACACTTAAGCTGTTCCTAACAGAGCAATCTGAGACTCTCTTCCAACTCGATGCTCTATGCTGGTGCCTTTCTAAAGCCCGTGAGAACAGTATGGCCCACTCACTTTCAAAAGAGCAAACGACAAATAAATATTATGTGCCCTTCAAAGACCCAGGACACCTATTCATCCATTTTGTCCCAAAATCCTTAATGGTGGATGCTGTGAATGAAGAGCATAAATGGCTGGACCTTTTTGGCCTAAATGTTACTCTCTGCCTGCCAGTGATTCAGGGAAGCCAGTGTCCACACTGAGTAATAAAAACAACTACACACATTATAATAAATTCATTCACTTTAACCAATATCTCCTGCAAGACCAAAAAGGGGCAGTTCATCACTGAAAGACAGCTAGCTGTCATGACCGCATGAGCGGAATCTTTGGACGCAGCATCCTGTTCTGTGCCAACAGTCATACTGATGTGCCACATGTCCTGGTTTTACTCCTCTGGTATCCCAATGGAGATCCGGAACTCATGGGGGAATTTTCCTTTGGAGAGCCCCAAACTCTTCAGGAAAACCATGGATGAATCCTTGAACTACTTAAAAGTCTCCAGAATGACTCTGCCATACTTAGAAATCTACATTCCTGCACCCAAAAGAGGGTACATCAGATCACAAATGGCCCAAAGGCCGTGTCCCCTCCCCCCACCTTGTTTCAAATATATAACAAGACTGTAAAACCACATAAGAAAAAGCCAAAGTTTCAAAGAAAAAGACCATCAATCTTCATCTTTGTAGTTATCTAACCACCAGCCTCCACCAAATCACCATTTTGATATGTTGACAAGAACCACAGTCATTCTGCCATCTGGATCTTGTATTGTTCCATTCCTTTACTTCCCACCTTATTGGGACCCATCTTTTGCATTTCATACATTGTGTAATAAATCACATTGTATATCAGAGTACGCCATTCACTTAAGCTCTCTCCCTCCTCACCACTCACCTTCCCTGTCCCTCTTTAGGGGCCATTTCAACAAGGTCTCCTATGACAGGAAGGGAAATCCTTTCTCGAACTGGGGGCGGTTGAACCAGTACCTACTCCCTAAACACGGAGAGGATTCTACTCCAGATACATCCTCATTCCCAAGAAGAAAGCAGGATGGAGACTGATCTTGGATCCCAGAATATTGAACACATCTATTCAGACTCAGGCGTTCGAGATGGTAATCTTAGCAGCAATTATACTCTGTGTCAGACGCCAGAGGATGGGTTACAGACCCTCAATCTCCAGGATTCATACTTTCGCACAGCAGTGCTTCCAGCTCACAAACAGTTTCTGCTGTTTATGATTGGTCAGGAGCATTATCAATATCACAGGGTGAAATCAAAATCATTCTGATAATGGCATCCTGGCCAGAACAAGTATGGTTCCCAGATCTGACTCACCTGTCACTTTTGTTTCCAATAACCGGGAAAGAGAGATTCAATCTTGCTCACTAAAGGATCAGGGAAAACTATTTACCTCAGTCTCCCCACACAATCTCTTTAAGGCCTGGCTCCAGGATGGTTCTTGGGCATAGAAACTGAAATGCAGAATTTGAAATGCAGAATGTGTGGGTAGGAAACTATCTGCAAAAAAGTCCTTTATAAATGGAAACCACTTCAGTTCTGGTGCATCCAGCATGGTTTGTCTCCCTCTGATTCCTACTTAACGTATAATTCAGACTGCCTGTTAATTTTAAACATCATGGGTTTGTTTCTGAGTCCATCTGGATTACATGTTGCAACCTCCCACTTACCTATTATGTGTACTGTGTGTTTGCACATCTGACAAACCCTAGATTCATTGAAGCATTAGTCAACTTTTTTCTACAAGTTCACTTATTACAGTGTAGGACCTTAATCTTATCCTCTATGCACTAATGAGAGGGCTCTCTCTTGCACTTTTCCATAAAAAACTCATTTCACAGAGCAATTATATCAGCTAGAAGAGTAGGGAATTTCTGAGCCCTTATGGCAGATTGACTTTAACACCAATTTTTATTGAGACTGAAAGACTCTCTTTCCCATCTCATTTTCTCCCATGGCAGATTGACTTTAACACCAATTTTTATTGAGACCGAAAGATTCTCTTCCCCATCTCATTTTCTCCCCTGTGTCTCCTCCAAGTTCCACATTAACTAGGACTCTCAATTACCCATCTTCTAAACTGCACAACTTTAGATAAGATGCTAGTCTGTCTATACACTTTGGATGTCAGGAGGTTACTGCATTCTGCCTAGAAAGAACTAGACACTTCAGACCTGCTCCAAGAATTATCTTCTCCTTCAGACAGAATAAAAGGATTCCCTGTTTCTGCCCAAAGACTACTCAAATGGGTATTAGAAGGTATTTTATCCTACTATGAACTTATGTCCTTCCTTTCTCCAAGATAACGACCTATTCCACCTCTATTGCTTTGCTCAAAAATGTCCTCAAAGACGTTTGTAAAGTTGACATCTGATCATCTCCACACACCTTTTCCCAGCGAGACATTATACAATATGCTCCCAGATCTGGTGCAGTCTTTTGGATGGCGGTTGCTCAATTTGTGCTATATAGGATTCCTCAGGAATCACCTTCTCAGTTTGGGGCACTGCTTGGGAGTTCAGTAAAGCGGAGCTTCCATAGGGAGATTTTTCTCAGAGAGAGGTTGATTACTTGTGAAGTAACTTGAGTTCACTGACTCTTTCTCCCTATGTGTGCTTCCCTACTGTTCTTCCCCTTTGCTTCAAAGACCTGTCATTAGGCTGGATTGTGTCATGGAGCGGGAATTATTTTAAAGCCTTCGCCAGAAATAGAAAAGGATTGATTGGAAAGTTAAGGTTTAAACAAGGAAAGGTAA